CATAATAAATAGCACATTTTATCTCTGAAGCAGACGACTTCTCAAAAATTGTAGACCAGTGTAATTAGTGTCAGGTGATCTTACCAATAGATGGCGCTCTCAGCTCCACCTATAACACAATTGCCTTCTTTATTCAGGAATCATGTAATTCTTCTTTACTTACTTCCAATCCCAGTCTCTTAAATTGTGTTTTATTTGGGTGTCCTACAGACTTATTTTCAGAAATAATGTTTATTCATGCTAAAAAATAGATTACATACTGCATCTCAATGCTTTATGATTAGGACCCAAGGAAAACCTACTTTCTTCAAATATGACCCATAGAGGGAGAGCATCCACATCTTTAATCCTGCCTCCATTTTCAGTGACTGGTTCTGCCATACATTCACTCTCCACTCAGAATGATGGAAACTTGTTGCCCATATACCATCCTGTAGGTTCAAGTTAGAGCCCCACACAGGACTAGTGTAGAGCCCTGCAGAGGGACTGGGATCCCATGGGTCCAGCAGGACCCATTGCCATAATAGCAGGAGCGGGTGGAAGTAGGATTTTAAAAAGTCCCATGCAGGGCTCTAGTCCAAGCACAATTTGGAAACCTTTGCTGCATACATCTTGCGGAAATTTTTATTAGATTTTAATAATATTTTTCCAACACCCCTGGATGGCTCTTGTCTTCCTTTCACTTTGAATCCCTGGTGATTTTCACAAATGAGGCTACCCAGTCAGTACACCCAGTAGGCAAGATAGAGGAGAGAAACTAGCTGCAGACTGAATCAATGCTTGCTGCTCCATCCCTATTTGAGTGTAAGCCACTTGTGATTAAGAACCCCCAATCCCAAGAATTATGCCTTAATGTCACCATGTCTGTAAGACATATCTTGACAAATTTCCCATATGGTTATACCTGGGTGATTGATAAAAAAAAACTTGACAATTAACTGTGGGCCCACTGGGAGTTTTGCCTACATAAAAAAAGCAAGACTGTGCTCAATGTTTGCTGCTTCACTAGTTGTCAGGGGAGCAATTAACATCTGTTGTCTATAACCTGATATCTTCCCCTTCTCCACTCTCACATCACCAAATGTTTCTGAAAAATCTCCTCTTGAACATCCCACCACCTTCTCAAACTTTTCCGGACCTGAAATTATCTTTCTTCCAGATCCTTCCCCTTTGCCTCTTTCTCTGTTGCTATTGGCAACTCCATCACCCCTCCAGTCTCCCAGGCTTGAAAGCTTGGAGTAATCTTCAACTCTTCTTTTTACTTCTTCCTCCGTTAATGCACCCTTTTGCCAAATTCTGTCACCGCTTCTTTAACATTACCAAATTCTGACCTTTCTTGACTATCTGTACTGCTAAAACTCTTGTCCATGCCTTGGCTATTTCTCATGATTACTGTAATCGTCTCCCCTTGGCCTTCTACTTTCACATTGAGTCTGCTATGAGTTAATCAACATTCTTGTCTACCATACATTTCAATAGGACATCTGACTGGACTGGCTCCAAAGTCTTCTAGAAAATTGCTTTATTAATAGGATATCTTATGTTCCTTACTAAGTTATTATTTTACATTTTATGATGGAAGCTAGTGGAATTATTTTTTGAATTGTCAAACACAAGAATGGAATCAACTGTTTTTTAAACATTAAAATGACACTTACCCTCTTTTACAGAGTCTTCCTTCGATTGGCTTAATGTTAATAACCTATTACATTTTTCCAGCTGAAGATCCAGAAGGCTATTCTTTCCATTAATTTCTAATATTTTCTTTAAAAAATATTGAAATATCAGTAGGTTAATGCTAAATTAAATCCTTTTGTTCTAAAATTTCTATCTAAATCCCAGGTTTTTCAAGCGAATGTTACAAAAACAAAAAACAAACAACCCCAAATCAAACCAAACCAAACAAAAAACCCACAACATTGAGCTGAGGTTTACAAAATAGTTCAGTGCCTCCCTCCCAGGTCTATTATACTGACATTATGATTTAGCTGTAAAGAAATGAATGAAGTTAGGTGTTAGAGGCTTGCATTGTAGATAATTAGGCTCCACTCTGATAATGGTTACTATAGTGATGGTCTTTCAGAGTGTTGCTTCTCCCTATTCAAGCTTAGGGAGGTCCCCTTCCAAGCTGCAGAGCTGTGGGAATCTTTAGGAAGCAGGACTCATTTGGGCTCCTTGAGCTCCTTCTTGCAGAACTAAATATTTAAGCCAAGGTTTTTGCTCTATACTTAGAAAACATCTTGTCCAACACCCTTGGTAGTACTGATGGAGGTTGGATGATAATGGGGCAAATTATCAATCACCTTGACTTTCCAGGCGATATCGTAGTGATAATGCCTCTGGAGGAATACAACCAAAAAGTTGCAATTAACCTGTACAAGCAGCCAGAGAACGGGGATTAAAAAAGAATGACAAAAGACCAAACTAATGGTAACATCAAAAAATCAAGAAATAGGCTAAACTAGTCATGATCAGTGTAGACATCGACCAAGTGGACAGCTTTCGCTACTTGAGCTCCATCATAATACATGACAGCCATTATGATGATGACATCAACAAGCGGATAGTTAGTGCCAGCAGAATTTTTGTGTGCCTGAATAAAAACATTTGGAACCTTAAATCAGTGTCCATGACAGCTAAAACCAGATTATAGACACCCTTTGTGCCCAAATTACTTTACAATTAGGAAACATGGGTACAGACGAAGTTTCTGGAGTAAAAACTGCACACATTTAAAATGAGAGACCTGTGACATACCTGTCTACTTAACCTTGTCATGCCTAAATGATGACATCTGTAGAAGACTCAAAGTGCAGTAGTTAACTACAATCATCAGAAGTTGCCAACTACAATGGTTGGAGATTATGCTAGAATAACCTCATACTGACACCCTAAAATTATTCTCTATGGAAGAGTGCATAGTGAAAGAGGCCATGGATGTCCCAGGAGAGAGTGGTATATATAAAACCATCCAGGCAACCCCCTCAATAGGCTAAAATAGTAACTCAAAACTGATGTGGATGGAATCTGCTCATAATCTTGGCCCTATGCAACCTTGGTGTTGGAAAAGAGGAGATGAAGGTGATGATAATGACTATCGTTATAAAAGGGCTCTGTAGCTCAACTGCCTCAATTTCTTCCACTAAACTCCAAAACGTTATGGGTCAGACTCCCATCCAGCTCCCATTGAACTCAATGGGAATCTCTCTTAATTTCAGTGGAGTTGATGAAGGCCCTGTACGAATAGAATTCTGAGGAAGGGGGAAGATGGGCAGGTAGTGTGCCTATGCAGAGACAACATTGTTGTAAAACCACAGTTTTTATGGAAAATAATTATTTTCTCTTGAAGTGGCCTCTGCATATTCCCACTGTGGGAATCTAGTGAGCAGTACAATCCCTTAGGAACTTGGGCTGAATAGTTCTAATTAAATAAAAATTGCAGTAATATCTCTGAAAGTGTGCAATCTTTGAGGAAGTGATACATCCTTAAAATGAACTGCTTGATGCTTAGGAGATCATACTTAAGAGAGGTCCTCCCTGTTGTAGCAATTTCCTTGAACAATTCCTGCATGGAAGAAGTATCTGCATGACTTGTTCCAATGGAAAAAGCTCTTTGGTACTGAAGGAGGCTAGCACCAACACACCAGTAAGTGCTTACTTAATATCAGCAGCTGATGCTGGTGAGGGCTGCTCTGTCATATTATCTAGAAGCCAAATTGGCTTCTGCACTGATAAAGTTTTGGTACCAGAAGGGCCGCTTCTCTGAGATGTTCCCTGTGCCAATGAGGTCTGGATGCTCATTGGTGAATAAAGCACCATGAGCCACACTTTTAAAGTTATTTTGGCACCTGAAGATGCAGATAGGCTACTAGTGGGATTTTCAAATATCTTTAGAAATCTGGCCCTACTCCTATAGACCTGATGTACCTGGCTCTGAAGCCTTTGGTGCCAGAGCTATCCCTGACTTGCTGGGCTTTAAAGCTGAAAACAGCCCATTCTATCGCTATGCAGGGCAGATGTCTGATCCACTGTCAGACCCAGGATTATGTTTGTAAGGCCTTCCTTTATAAGCAAGGCACGGTCCAGACAGGGGCGGCTCTAGCTTTTTTGCCGCCCCAAGCACGGCAGGCAGGCTGCCTTCGGTGGCATGCCTGCGGGAGGTCCCCGGTTCCGCGTATTCGGCGGCATGCCTGCGGAAGGTCCACCAGTCCCACAGCTTTGGCGTACCCGCCACCGAATTGCCGCCGAATCCGCGGGACTGGCGGACCTCCCACAGGCAAGCCGCCAAAGGCAGCCTGCCTAAATTCCCTCATGGATCTGGGCCAAAGCCTCTACTTCCTGCCTGTGTGGGCTGGAGGTATGAAGGCACAACACACTGTGTTGGAATCTGCAGAATGAGGATTCACCCGACAGAACAAATTACAAAAATATTTGTCTGCTTCCTGAAACACAGAAGAGCTTACTGTACAGTGCTTAAATTGATTTTTATCTGAATCTTTGGAAGCCTCATAATCCATGACAAAAAGAGCCAATGATCCTGGCCTAGACAAAAATTAAGTGCACGATGGCACAAAAAAACTAATATTTGCCTGCTAACTACAACAGAAATTAACAATAAAAATTAGAGGAGTTTTTGATAAGCACCCCTCCCCCCAAAAAATTGCTGTGAGTACCAAGAAGGTGTTTTGCCCAGGAATGCTGCCAACTAAGGTAACTGGGGTAGGACAGCCTTTTTACAGCGTTGGCTCCAAACATTCAGTGATGGAGGAGGGTATTGTGTGGCACAAATAGGCACTGCTTTGCAGCAGATTTTGAAGTTCTGTGGCACTAGGGGGCGCATTCCACAAGTATGACAACTGCAGATGCCACATAGAAGAAAATTTCACTAAAAAAGTGTTTAAAAAGATGTCACAAAGTGTTACCAAAAAGCCATTTCAGCTTAATTTGTTACCTACCTTTTCTATCTGTGAGAAGTCATCTAAAAGTTTATCAAGATTTGCCACACTGATTTTCTTCATATTTGCTTCACTGGTGTGATTCATTTGTTTCTAGAAAATATCACCCAGTATTTATTGTATATAAAATTAACATTGATTTAAGAATTTATACTACTTGAGACAAATTCTTCCTTCATTCAGGGGTGCTGGAACAATTTTTATAGTGGGGGTGCTGAGAACAATTGAACCAAACTGTAAACCCTGTATATGATGGAAACCCCTTCAAGCCATGGGGTGTTGCAGCACCCCCGACACCCCGAGTTCCAGTACCTATGCCCTCATTCATTTCATGTGTCAAAGGGATTGCATGGGTGTGAATTTGAGCAAAATATGTCTTATCTTCAAATCAAATTAGTCTTGCAAATTAAAATGAATTTCTATCCAACATAGAAATAGATGAAATATTATATGTAAAATCAGCTATCTTTATTAATAAGCCAGGAAGTGTTGCAGACATTTTTCTAGATGTGCTATTTCCTATGCAACTATGAGAACCATTTTAAAAAATCATTCTCACTAGTATCTGAAGACGAGCTCTGTGTAAACTCAAAAACTTGACTCTCTCATCAACAGAAGTTAGTCCAATAAAAGATATTAACTCACCCACCTTGTCGCTCTAGTACCTTTAGTGACATTTCTAGGAATGATGTTTAGATGTCAGAAAGCAGAGGTAATGTTATCAAATAGAATGGCGGGCAATCTCATAAGAATTTGAATTTTCTGCTGAAGTTCAAAACTAAAGCTGCAACCATATCATCTGCATACCATGCCAAATAAATATTAGTGCTTTACATGTACAAAGAACTTTACAAACATTAAAAGACAATTAATCCACAGTACCCTGTGAAATAGATTGTCCTCATTTTATAGCTAGGGAAATTGAATCAGAAAGGCTAAGTGATTTACCCAAACTACACAGTACACTAATGGTTAAGACAGCTATGTGCTACTCCTTTAAACCATGCTGCACCGATACCAGAACCAGTGGATCAAATGTTGTGCTGCTTTATAACCTATACAATGCTACTGATATCAGTGGGATTTTACAGAGTGTAAATTAATATAGTATTTGGCCCACTTATTTTATGTTTATAACTTACATGCTGCCAGACTTAACTACTCAGGTTTACAATCCTGCATAAATTCACTTTTGTGTGTTCTTTTAAACCATGATTTGAGTGCAGGCCAGTGAGCCTTGTATTATAGCACATATTAACAGTTTTATGTCTCAGAGTGAGGTGCGATTTTCAAAAGCACTCTGTGCTGGACTAACTCTTTTCCCACTAAAGTGAACAGTAAAAGTTCCATTGACTTTAGTGGAAACAAAGGTCAATGCTGAACACTTTTGAAATTTCACTCTAAGAACCTTAAACATAAATTTACAAGAAAGTCTCACTTGTAATACATATTTATAAAGACAGTCTATATGCATTAACCTGAAGACTCTATTAGGAATCAACCGAAAGACCAGAACAAATTATGAATTAGGACAGAGCTTTAAGTTCAACTTTTAATTTCATGATGGTTTGTATCACAATCTTTCATTTTAAATTTTTACAAACAGGAAGTGGCAACATGATAGAAAAAGATCAGAGGTTGGAATGTGCAGTATAAAAAAATTGAATGGATTTCTAGATAAAACCATTTCCTAATTTAAGAGAAAATTACACAGTGACCAGTTTTGTTTAGCAGACAAAATTATGTCATCAAGCCAGCAGATATTCTTGGTAATGTAATGGTTAGAAGCCTGTATATATATATTTAGCTTCATTAGTAAAACAATAATGTAAAAACATTAGCAGTCTGTGATAAGTACATATATTTTTTTGTATTCACTCTTTGTTTTCCCAGATTACTTAAACAGCTAATTAACTTTAAAAATATTTTTCAGGAAGATATGTACAAAATGAGGTTAGCATTACAGAATAAACTTTTCTTCCTAATAAGTAACTACCTGTATAGAATCATAGAAATGGAGGGCTGTAAAGGACCTCGAGAAGTTATAAAGCCCAGCCCCATGTGCTGAGGGAGGGCCAAGTAAACCTGTGCCATCCCTGAAATGTATTTGTCTAGCCCAGTGCTTTAACAATCCGTGAACCCCTTTCACTAAATTGTGAAATCTCGTGAACCCCCTCCTAAAATTAATATTTCCAGGGATTTAATTTTAAATTTTCTCAGTGTGATGGATATGCTTGCTTTGCTCTGCATAGCTTTTGGAAGTCCGGAACCACTGGAGAAAGATAAAGTCTCAGGTTTGGTTCAGCATCAAGTCTGTTTCTGTATTTGGTTTTCAGATGTGCATACGAGGAAAACGCTTTCTCGCGTAAGTATGTTGTTGAAAATGGTAACAAAACTGTAGTAGCTTTTTCTGCCAGAAGAGGGTACTTGTTTCTTAGGGTAGGTCTATACTTACCTCCGGGTCTGGCAGTAAGCAATCGATCTTCTGGGATCGATTTATCGTGTCTTGTCTAGACGCGATAAATCGATCCCAGATCGACCCCGGAAGTGCTCGCCGTCGACGCCGGTACTCCTGCTCGGCGAGAGGAGTACGCGGAGTCGACGGGGGAGCCTGCCTGCTGCGTCTGGACCTGCGGTAAGTTTGAACTAAGGTACTTTGACTTCAGCAACGTTATTCACGTAGCTGAAGTTGCGTATCTTAGTTCCAAGTGGGGGGTTAGTGTGGACCAGGCCTTAAACTCAGCCAAAATTTGATCAATGACAGATTTCTGAACTCCTTTTCAGTTTGTAATCACAGGAGATCTCAATCAATTTCTCTTTTTCTCAGTGTTCAATATCCGTGTTGAGAAAGTGGTATCATCAAAAGGGTTGCAAATCCAGTGATTATCGCCTGACATAGTTGGAAAGTATTCCCTGAAAGTTGTGCAAAGTCCTTTTAGGTGTGCAGTTATGTTGGTTTTAGTGCACTGATCCACCTGAAGTTTATTTTCTGCCAGGAAGTCATGAAGATTACTGAAACACTCAGTTTGATTGTTTTCTAAACAACTTTCCCAGAACTGTAACTTCTTTATCATGGATTCAACTTGCTCTTGCACATTGAAAACTGTTATATTGAGGCCTTGAAGAGATAAATTTAGGTAATTAATTCTTGAGAAAATATCTGCTAACTAAGCTAGGCTCTGGAGCCAGACATGATTGTCTATACAGCTGGCAAGGTGGAAAGGGTGGCTGTTGAAAAAAACTAGGATTTCCGTTCTAAGCTCAAACAAGCACACAAGGATTTTGCCCCATGAGAGCCATCTAACTTTGGTATAGGTCAACAGACAATTATGTATACTACCCATTTCTTCACAAAGTATGTGAAATATTCTGGAATTTGTTGGTCGTGATTTTATGAAATTCACCATTTTCACTGCATTGTCCAGCACTTCCTTCGGTCCCTCAGGCATGTGTTTTGTTGCAAGGGCTTGTCCATGGATACTACAATGAGTCCAAGAGATGTTTGATGCAACCTTTTTTATTTGAGCTACAAATCCAGTATACTTCCCCGTCATTGATGTGGCCCCATCAGTGCAAATGCGTAGGCAACAAGACCAATCTATTTCCTTTTCTTGAAAATATGCATTAGTCAGATTGATGATATCTTCTCCAGTTATACATTCTTCCAATGGTCGGCAAAACAAGAAGTCTTCTTCAACCATACCTTCATTCACATAACGTACAAACAGTAGCAAAATAGCTAGATTAGCTACATCAGTTGATTCATCCAACTGTATAGCATAATATGGACTATTTTTCACTCTCTGTACCTTTGTAGTCTCTACATTATTTGACGTCATTATTTTTTTGTGACAACGTATTATTGGACAAAGGTACCATGTCGATCATTTTTGCAGCCTTTTCTCCGAGCATGCAATGAACTATGTCTTTTATACATGGACCAATCAAGCTCTCTGCTATGGTATGGGCTTCTGATGCTTTTTCTACTCAGTAGTTCACACGGTATGACGCTTCAAGTGCATTTTCATTATCAGTACTTGCTTTGAATATAAAACTGGTAATGTCACTTTTCCTCTCAGCTAATTTTCACTTGAAAAAATCAGCAGGCTTGTCGAGTTGTGCAGGATGCCTAGTTTCTAAATAGCGCCAAAGTAGAGGAGGTTTGAGGATGCTGTTTGCTAAAACATCACCACAAATTACACACAGTGGTTTTGGACATTCTTGCTCACCAATGCATGTAAAGCCGTATTGTATATAATCATTGTCATATTTTCTTTTCTTTGTAAGTGTCTTTCCAGGACCATCATGATCATTAGACTTAGATTTTCCATAGTGTGTACTTGAGCTGATTCCCTTTGGGGCACCTGCCATTGGCCACTGTCAGAGGACAGGATACTGGGCTTGATGGACCTTTGGTCTGACCCAGTATGGCCGTTCTTATGTTCTTATGTTCTTATGCACATTTTGAATTGTGGTATATCCTTATTTATTTCAATATTAAGTAGTATATAGTGCCTTTCTAACATAGACACTTTTCTGACCATACTCACAATTAAATTAAATAGCCTCTTTTAATCTATCCTGGAAAATAATTCATATCCTCATCCTGTTATAACAGAAAAAGCATGTTGTGGGTGATATGAAAGAAGAAAACTATGATTTTTTTTTTCATTTTTCAGCCTGGTAACGGATAATCTGCTTTTGAAATTTAATTTGATACTTTCTCTACAACAAGTAACTGATCATTTAATTCATGACTGCCAACTTAACATCAAAAGTGTATATCAGTGGCATATTAATTATTCAATGATGGGTTTCTGTAACAGCCTCATCGGTTCTTTCCCTTGTTTCACACTTTGATAAGTGAGGCAGTTAACATTTGGACCAAATCTAATCTTATAAAAATATAAGAACAGCCATACTGGGTCAGACCAAAGGTCCATTTAACCCAGTATCCTGTCTTCCAACCGTGGCCAATGGCAGGTGCCCCAGAGAGAATGAACAGAACAGATAATCATCAAGTGATCCATCCCGTCGCCCATTCCCAGCTTCTGGCAAACTCTGTCCATCTTGGCTAATAGCCATTG